GGCGTTCCCCCCCCACCACCTACTTCCAGCGTAGTGCCAGCTTCCCGCGGGGTGGACAGAAGTCCTACCTGCAGCTTCGTGCCACTTCCAGGGGTTCTGGGAGTGCACTGGCTGCTCCCCTCTCACAGCTCTGTGGCTTGCTGCAGGAGGGAGCGTTGGGCTCAAAGAGTGCGGCGACTTCCCTGCGCCGCAGGAGGGGTGAGTCGAGCGCAGGGGATTCCCTGCACTGCAGGAGCGGGGGTTGGCCCCAGGAAAGGTGCGCACACAGGTTTGACTGCGCCATGGGAGGGGGATTTGGCCCCAGGGCAGGTGCACACGGGGGTTTGGCTGCGCCATGAAAGACACGCACCGCCCCAGAGGAGAATCCTGGGAGGAGGCGGGTGCAGGGGACTATCTGCCCCCACTTCCCCCTGTTCCCTCTCCCCACTCCCCTGTTCCCTCTCCCCACTCCCCAGCCTCAGAAACCTGTCCCCAGTGGCACCCTGTCCCCAGCCTCAGCAACCTGTCCCCACTGGCACCCTCTCCCCATTCCTCACTCCCCTCTCCCCTGTTGCCTCTCCCCAGCCCCGTGCCCCCTCCCCCCTCCCCAGCCTCAGAAACCCATCCCCTTTGGCACCCTGTCCCCAGCCCTCCCAGCACCTTGCTGTCTCTCCCTACTCCCCAGCCCCCCACTCCCCAGCCTCAGAAACCTGTCCCCACTGGCACCGTGTCCCCTGCCAAAGCACCCACTAGCACCCTTCCCCAGTACTATGTCCCCTGCTCCCACCAACACAGTTGGGGCCACATTAGTGAAGTTTTGGGGAGGAAGGAGAGGTTGGAGGAGGGTTTTCTTGCATCTCACTTGTGTGGCCCCAGCTGACTTTTCTGTGGGGCGGTGACCCCTGACTCAAAACAGGTTCCCTGCCCTTAGAAATAAAGACAATGCAGAAACTTTTTGTGTTTGACATAGTATTTTATTTAAAAATGAAGCCTGGCCAACAAACCCCCAGTTGGGTCCAAGCTTCCATCTGGTCACAGCATCATAACACTCCTGCACTCTCCTTTCCCCCAGACCCTACATCAGAGCCTATCATACACTGGAACCCCCTGCCCTGAGCCCCTCACATCCCCCAACCCAAATTCCTGAACCCTCACATCGAGAAATCTGTGGCTTGCTTAGTACCCTAACCTCCGAGCCAGTGTTCCCGTATCCACCTCCTCCTGCATCCAGATTTCCTCTCAGAGCTTGCACCTCTCACCCCTTCCCACATTCAAATCCCTCATTCCCACCCTGGAGCCTACACATCCTGTCTCAACCCAGTGAGGGTACAACCCAGTGAGGGCAGGAGTTTTTCAGGATACCAGAGATATCCCAGAAAAACTCTTCTGTATCTGGGGATGCGTTTGTTCTTCCACTTCTTTTAGTGGAAAAGCAAACATGATCTTTCGGTCACCCCTATATTCCTCTTTCCACGAGGAATAAGGGGGCTTCCAAAAGAAGGGGGTTTTCTGACATTTGGTCCAGTCTAGACAGGCCAAATGTTGGAAAAACTTCTTCCTACAGGAGAATTGAGAAAAAAAGCAGCAGTATACGGGTTGGGGATAGCAAGTGATGGAAAGGAGGAGACTAGAGAGGGAGAGGCTTCAAGGAATGGGTGGGGCTTCAAGGAAGGGGCGAGGCGGTAGATCTTGGCTTGTTCTGTCATTTAAAAAGTCATCTTGAGTGTAAAAGGTTGGAGACCACTGTCCTACTGGGTAGCAGGAAGCCCTCCACTAGGACCACATACCTGGCTAAGTGGAAACGGTTCTGTATCTGGGCAGCCCAGAAGGGAGTAGTACACCCAAGGCAAGCTGTGATTCCCTTGATCCTGGATTACCTGTTAGACCTCAGGCACCAGGACCTCTCTTCCTCCTCCATCAAGGTTCACTTGGAGGCCATTTCTGCCTTCCACCCAGGGGAAGGGGGAAAAACTCTGTTTGCTAATCCAATGGTCAACTGGTTTCTGAAAGGGTTGGACAGGCTCTACCCACACGTCTACTAGCCCATTCCCCAGTGGGACTTAAACCTGGTCCTTTTCAAACTTATGGGACCCCCATTCGAACCGTTAGCAACGTGTTCCCTTCTATACCTGTCATATAAGGTGTCTCTCCTGGTGGGTCTCACATCCACCAGGCAGGTATCCGAACACAGGTCACTCACCTCGGATCTCCCCTATAGGTGTTTTTTAAAGACAAGGTTAGGCTCCGCTCCCACCCAGCCTTTCTGCCTAAGGTGGTGTCTTCCTATCACACCTCCCAGGACATTTTCCTGCAGGTTTTTTACCCCAAGCCGCACACATCCGAGAAAGAACAGGTTTTACACACTTTAGATGTGCACAGGGTGTTAGCTTTTTACTAAAGGACAAAACCATTCAGGAAGTCACCGCAACTCTTTGTGGCCATTGCCGAATGGGCAAGGGGTCAACCCGTGTCCTCGCAGTGGATCTCCTCCTATATAACCACTTGTGTCAAGGAGTGCTATGCCCTAGCAGGGGTACCGGCCCCACCCATTAGAGCGCACTTCATGCGAGCTGTGGCAGCCTCCACCGCTTTCATGGTGCGGATTCCCATCCTGGACATCTGCAGAGTCGTGACATGGTCCTCTGTCCATACCTTCACCAATCACTATGCGCTAATACATCAAGCCAGGGAAGACACTGCCCTGGGCAGGGCGGTCCTCCACTCCTCTGTACCTTTAACATCTGGCCCTACGCCATAGGTTCTGCTTTGGAGTCACCTAATTGGAATGCACATGAGCAATCACTCTAAGAAGAAAGAATGGTTACTTACCTCGTAACTGTGATTCTTCGAGATGTGTTGCTCATGTCCATTCCAAATCCCTGCCCGCCGCCCTTATTCTGGTAAGAAGGAACTGAGTGGGCGAGGGGGGACAGCAGAGGGATATATGGGCCAATATACCAGCACCATTCAAGGGGGCTCCCCGCTGGCCCTAAGGGTACTGCTGAGGGAAAAGTTTCTGATGACGCATGCACGCTGCGCGCACACACCTAATTGGAATGGACATGAGCAACACATCTCGAAGAATTATAGTTACGAGGTAAGTAACCGTTCTTTCTCATGCTAATGGACTTAATCGTGATGAAGGATGGTTGGGACACTATTTACCTAACAGTCAATGAAGGTGCAAATAGCTCCTTGTGTAGATTCCTATGTCAGGAAGGATACTATCTATTGACTTTGATTCTATCGGTTTCATTTTAACTACCCAATCTTCAGATACTGATTCCCTCCACCCTCTGTCTCCCACTCCCTCTTTTTTTATCTCCCCCTCCCCCGCCCCTTCTCTCATATTTATTTTGGACCTGTGTTACTGGCAAGAGTAAGTCTCAGGTCGGATACTGGGTTCTCAAAGTACAAAGACATGCTACACAGGTATCTGTCAAACCAAAGCAGTTTATTTTCTGTCAGCTATCAGCTGTGCCCCTTAACTAAAGGAATAACATGATAGGGAAAATGGCATTCTTACATCCCTTCTGCTAGCTGGAAACCCCCATTTCGGCTGCAGATGAAGTGGGAGATTGTCTCAGCTTCTGAGGCACCGGTACCCAAAGCCCATCGGTAAGGTCCAAATTGCTATGTTTGGTGCAAACTTTAAATACTGTGTGTCTAACTTGTTTGTGGCAATTTGGAAATTTCTGGGGGTTACTCATTGCTTGTTACAGTATGGCTCAGCTGTGCTACTTGTCCTTTGTTTACATGATCAGTAAATTTAGGTAAACAAGACTTATGTTCCCACCCTTACCTACAATTCGTTCTTGCTACAATGGCATATGTTCCTAGAGGCTTGCTTCTGGCTCATCAGTAGTAGGGAAGGGGAGATAGGAAAAGGGAGGGGAATGCAGGCCTCACCACCCTTATAGTCACACCTACAGAGTTCTTCTGCAATTGACCTCTACATTCTGCATATCCTAAACTCAAAACTCTGGTCATCTGACTACAAAGCTCATGATACCATCTACATGCTTTGTTAGTCTATAAAGTGCTACCAGACTATTTGTTGTTGTTTTTTCTGTACAGACTCACTCAGCTACCCCCTGAAGCTTCTAATCGTAGCGGGGTGGCAGATGAAATTTTGGGGCGTAAAAAAATAATAAAGCACTGTAAAACTCAAAACAAAAATTCAGTTTTCTCCAAATTTCAGTTGGGTCGACGTACCCCCCAAACGTCTCTCTGGGGGCACTGGTACCACTGGTCTACTGTGACCTGACTGGTGCTCGCTTTATCTGCGCCTGCAAGCTCTGCAGTAGCCAGCCACAGCACCGCTAAGGCTGAAGTTAGTTTGCACACGCTCAGCCTTCCAACAGCCCTTCCCCTGAAGACCCCGACCTGCACGTCCCCCTAATAATTCCACGCCCCAGTTACTCAGCGGTAGGTTTACCTAGGCGCGAGCTTCCTCCGGCCCCTAAAATACCCCTGCGGGCACGGGGGGGG